TTACTCTATTATAATTGTATATTTCGCTTTTCTCTCGCTACTCTTTCTCGTTTCTTTTCTTTCGCCTTTATCTCTCGCTCTCTGCTCGCTTCGGTCTTTCTCTCTCTCTTTTTTCTTCTCTCTCTCTCTCTCTCTCTCTTCTCTCTCTACTCTTGTCTGTCTCTCTCGTTTCACAGCCAAGAGAGACGTGGCAATTGTGACGCCAACATGTTGTTAACGTTTTGGCGTGATGGCCTGGCTGCGAGCGCCGGCTGCTGCGGATGCGTTTAGCAAGAACGGCATGACTGCGGTTATGTATTTGTACAACGGCCACGCGCGACGGTTATGTAAGATAGTACCGTACACTAACCGCGGCGAGGATCGGCGATTAATTTCATTAGATCGCTGTCGCATTATTTTAGGAAGTAAACGCAGTTCGTTTTTATGTCATCGTGTATAGGCATGGACCCCCCCACCACACCACCAACACCCCGCCTTTCCGCTCTGGCGTTAGAAAAGATCTTTCTTTCACAAATAAAAATTGATTAATGCCTGTAAAAAATATTAAATTCCAATATAGCCAGTCACTGGAGAGATACGTGTTTGTGCTTTACGGTTAGACGAAATTTCAGGCGATGACCAGAGGCGTGACGCCCTGAATGAGCTCTTATCGGCTGACTCGCAAAGGCACGGATAAGCTTCGGAGTGAGTACTCCCGCTCTGCTTTTTACCCATATAGTATTATTTTCTCCATCTATAACTTTTATTTAATTTTCTAGATTGCTTATCATAGATTGTTCCTTATCCCACGTTCCTCTCTTTTTATTCTCTCTCTCCTTTTCCTCCTCCTCGTTTTTTTCTTTTTTTGTTCTTTTTTATTCTATGTTTTCTTCGTTCGTTCTTCTTCTTCTTCTTCTTTTTTATTGTTCTTCTTTTATTTTCTTGTTTTCTTCGTTAGTCGTCTTTCTTCTTCTTTTCTTTTTCTTTTTCTTCTTCTTCTTCTCCTTTTTTTTTCCCTCCCTCTTCTTCTCGTTCTTCGTTCTTCTTTCTTGGTTGTTGTTTCTTCTTCCTCCTCTTTCTTTCTGCGTTTCCTTTCTCATCCTTCATTCAAAACAGTGCCAATGTTCACGAACACCTTATTATATGATAATTTGCATTTTGCGCCATCCTTTCTCGCTAGCTGTCCCGCGCGTCCTTTCCAGATCGAGGTACTTACATATAGGAGCGGAGGCCCCTTATTTATGTTTCTATTTTCACTGCTCATTTTCCGCATATCAATCACTGAGCCGGATACGGATCTCTGCGTACGGTCACTTCGCCTGCTTTATATCGCGTATTCTCACGACGCTTAACGTTGGTTCGCCTTGCCCCGGGCAATGATGAATAGCGTTGCAATGCTGGAAGGCGGAACACGCTCGCGCAGCGACATACACGCAAGCGAGCAAATGCACGCACGCACACGCAGGTACTGCTTATGCAAGGTGCGGCAACGCCATATACGCGCGGACATAGCAAGTATTCGAAATTAAACACACACCACACACCGCCACCACACACAACACAACCCGCAGGTTGAGTTATGATTCACAGATGTCATTCGAGCGCTAGACAGGTGAGTTAGAGTGAGTGTACACGTGTAACAGTATAAGGGCAGGTAGGTGAGCGTGATGTACAGATATGTGACGTTAAAGAGCGACGAGTGAAGAGTTTGGGGTTGTTAACACGTGTGAACATTATGACGCAGATTTAAGGTGAGGTTGTTACACAGTGTGGACATAAGACGGAGCTAGGAGTGGCATGGTTCATTACACGTAGTTGAATATGTAAATAATAAGTTACAATAGTATAAGCTAGAGTGTGTGTTTAATGTATGGTTTGTTACAATAACACACATATAGTAACTTACAATAGTGCAAACTATGACGAGTGTTGAAGAGTTTCAAGTTTTGTTACAATAGTGCGTGCTGCTGTAAGTTGAAATAGTGCAAACTATATAATGACTGTTCATGGTAAGATTTATTACAATATGTCAAGGTATAATAGGTTTTCAACATGAGTTTTCTTACAATAGTACGCCCCACGGTGAGTTACAATAATATAAAATGCGATCAGTGTAAACGTGATCGATATAACTTTATCTGTACAATCGGTCATATTTACTTGGCACAGATAACGGTCTGTTGTAATCGAAAATGTGTTGCTAAGGTAAGCTGTCATTATGACCTGTTACGGAAATGTTTCCAGCTGTGCTTACATCCAATCTTGTCGCACGGGCGCGCGCGTGTGCTTGGTGACAGGCCATAGTTCTACTCAGCGCGTGTCTGACCGTGATGACGCGTGTAACGTCACCGATCTGACATGTCAGCACGGCGACGTAACGCGTCGACTGAAGCTTTCGGCGCGGAGACAACCGCATCCTCACTCGTGCTCTCCGATTACGTCACACTGCACATGCGCGAGATGATGGCGCCGGAAGGTCGCTTAACGATGAAAAAACTTATATTGGCGGCGGCCCGAGGCGTGGTGCGCGCGTGCGTGCATGCATAATGCGCGCGTGCGTGCATACGTGCTGCGAGCGTGCACATGCGTGTTCACCGCGGCCGGATCGGCGACTACTTGTCGTCGTCGTGACAGGCAGACGCACTCGTGTTCTATCATCGTCAGCGACTAACAAACGCGTTCGATCGACGAAGCTTCGTCTTAAACAGCAGCGATCTGAATTTTCGAACATCGTTTTCTTCTTCTCTCTTTCTCTCGCAGATGCACGCTGCCGATGTCATGGCGACGCATCTGTGAGTGTTTGGGTTCGAGATCTTCGATGCGTGAGATACGAAGATAGGAGGCAGCGGCGCCCGCACGCAGAAGTGACGACTTCACCGGCTGGTGGCCGTAGTGAGAGTCGTTCTGCGATAGGACCGGATTGCGCTAGGCTCCGCCGGAGTTAGTCACGTTAGTCAAGCATGGAGCGCTGCGACATCGGATGAGCGACACGCTTGTGTCGAGCTAGAACACGCAAGCTTGGAGTATCCTTAGATCTGGTAGCCAGGTAGATCTGTGTTGGATTATCCTTACATTAAAGCCAGGTAGATCTGTGTTGGATTATCCTTACATTAAAGCCAGGTAGATCTGTGTTGGATTATCCTTACATTAAAGCCAGGTAGATCTGTGTTGGATTATCCTTACATTAAAGCCAGGTAGATCTGTGTTGGATTATCCTTACATTAAAGCCAGGTAGATCTGTGTTGGATTATCCTTACATTAAAGCCAGGTAGATCTGTGTCGGATTATCCTTCCATTAAGGCCAGGTAGATCTGTGTTGGATTATCCTTACATTAAAGCCAGGTAGATCTGTGTCTGATTATCCTTTCATGAAAGCCAGGTAGATCTGTGTCGGATTATCCTTACATGAAAACCAGGTAGATCTATGTCGGATTATCCTTACAATAAATTGAAGCCAGGTGGATCTGTGCCGGATTATCCACACACTTGTAAGAGAGCTACGTATGTGACTGCAGAATTATCCAGAACTTCGTAATACATATGTTGTCTAGCTATGCTGAAGAATCCTCACATTAAAACCTGCGTGGAACTATGCCAAGTTGCCCAGAAAAGTGTAGAAGACCGAGGTATCTCTGTGCGGAATTATCCAGGGCTGCATGAAACCTGATGACGTGCCGGATTATCTTTATAGTAAAGCCTGGCAGAGTTATGCCGGATGATCCAGAAACGTGTGGAGGGCTGTCGTATTTATTACATCCGCTATCGTCCAGAGATACACGTTTAGCCAGGTAGCTGTGTACGGTACGTGGGACTGAACTTTACGGTGTTGGCACGCCGCCAGGAATGCTGCCGGAACATACAGGGGGAACAGTGCGGGGCTGAACTCTACGGTGTTGGCACGACGCCAGGAATGCTGCTGGAATATGATCTCCGCGACGCCCGCAGACGCCAACATGAGCGCGCCATCTACCGGAGCAGACGCGCAGCACGCGTCGGCGTTCAGCATCGTCATGGGCGTCGCTCTCGCGCTCGTCATCTTCTTCGCGATCGCCGGCAACCTGCTCGTCTGCGTCGCCGTCTACAGCGACCGCAACCTGCGCAAGATCGCTAACCTCTTCATCGTGTCGCTGGCGCTCGCCGACCTGCTCGTCGCCACACTTGTCATGCCGTTCGCTCTCGCCAACGACCTGCTGGGCTACTGGGCCTTCGACGTCGGCTTCTGTAACGTGTGGGTGTCGTTCGACATCATGTGCTCGACGGCGAGCATTCTGAACCTGAGCGCCATCAGCGCCGACCGCTACGTGCACATCCGAGACCCGCTGCGTTACCATGCCAACATGAGGGCGCGCACGGCGCTGTGTGCGATCTTCTGCGTCTGGCTCTGCTCCTTCGTTATCTCGTTCGTGCCGATCAACCTCGGCTGGCACGAGATTCCCGTGAGCAACAACATCAGCGGTGTGCGGGAACAGGAGAAGGTCGTCGCGCAGGAGGAGGACGTGGACAGCTCGCCGCCGATGTGTGCCTTGGAGATCAATCCTACGTACGCGATTCTGTCGTCTGCGATCAGCTTCTACGCGCCGTGCGTCGTCATGGTATTTATCTACATGCGTCTGTACGCGTACGCGCGTCGGCACGTGAGAAGCATCAAGGCGCTGTCGGTGCCGCCGTCGACGAACGGCGGTGCGGCGAGCGTGCACTCGCGCCAGTGGCAGGACCACAAGGCGGCGATAACGCTCGGCGTTATCATGGGCGTCTTCTTGCTCTGCTGGACGCCCTTCTTCTGCGTGAATATCGTCGCGGCGTGCTGCGCCGAGTGCGTGCCCAAGGTCGTCTTCGTCGTGCTCACGTGGCTCGGCTACTTCAACAGCACGATGAATCCGATCATCTATTCGATCTTCAACACGGACTTCAGGGAGGCATTCAAGCGGATACTCGCCATAGATAGGTATATATACGGCGGTCGGCGGCGGCGGAGCTGTGTGTGGGTGTGTGTGTGTGTATGTGTGTGTGTGTGTGTGTGTGTGTGTGTGTGTGTGTGTGTGTGTGTGTGTGTGTGTGTGTGTGTGTGTGTGTGTAGTGTGTGTGTAGTGTGGTGTGGGTGTGTGTGTGTGTGTGTGTGTGTGTGTGTGTGTGTGTGTGTGTGTGTGATAACGGGTGTGGATGAATGGATGGATGGGCGGACGAATTTACAAATAGACGGACTGGCGGTCGGATGGATGGCTAGACGAATTGATGGATGGACAGACGAAGTCATGGATGGACGAACGGATAGATGAGTGTTCAAATGGACGGACGGACGGACGGGCGGATGAATAGCCAGATGAAGTGATGGACGGACGGAGGGAGTCATGGATGAATGAACGGATAGACGAATGTTCAAATGGAGGGACGGACGGGCGGATGGATGGACAGATGGAGTGATGGAGGGACGGACGGGCGGATGGATGGACAGATGGAGTGATGGACGGACGGACGGGCGGATGGATAGATAGATGGAGTGACGGGCGCACAGACGGAGTCATAGATGGACGGAAGGACAGATGAGTGTTCGAATGTACGGACGGACGGGCGGATGGATGGATAGATGAAGTGACGGGCGAACAGACGGAGTCATGGATGGGCGGAAGGACAGATGAGTGTTCGAATGTACGGACGAACGGGCGGTTAGATGGATAAATGAAGGGATGAACAGCCGGTCAAGATGGATGAATTGATGGATTGTCATGGTGGATTGATGGATGGATGGACGGGACGGACGGCCGGACGGACGGCCGGATGGACAGATGGATGGATGGATGGATGGATGGATGGATGGATGGATGGATGGAGGATGGATGGATGGATGGATGATGGATGGATGGATGGATGATGGATGATGGATGGATGGATGATGGATGGATGGATGGATGGATGGATGGATGGATGGAGGATGGATGGATGGATTGGATGGATGGATGGATGGATGGATGGATGGATGGATGATGGATGGATGTGGATGTGATGGATGGATGGATGGATGGATGGATGGATGGATGGATGGATTGGATGAGTGGATGGATGGATGATGATGGTAGATAATATGATGATGAATGGATGGATGGTGGATGGATGGATGGATGGATGGATGGATGGATGGATGGATGATGGTTGATGGATGGAGGATGGATGGATGGATGGATGGATAATGGATGGGCTGATGGATGGATGGATGGATGGATGATGGATGGATAGATGATGGATGGATGGATGGATGGATGGATGGATGGATGGATGGATGGATGGATGGATGGATGGATGGATGGATGGATGGATGGATGGATGGATGGATGGATGGATGGATGGATGGATGGATGGATGGCATGGATGGATGGATGGATGGATGGATGGATGGATGATGGATGGATGGATGGATGATGGATGGATGGATGGATGGATGATGGATGGATGATGGATGGATGGATGAGATGGATGGATGGATGGATGGATGGATGGATGGATGGAGGATGATGGATGGATGGATGGATGGATAGGATGATGGATGTATGGATGGATGGATGGGATGGATGGATGGATGGATGGATGGATGGCTGGAATTGGATGGATGGATGGATGGATGGATGGAGGATGGATAGATGGATGGATGGATGGTATGGATGGATGGATGGATGGATGGATGGATGGATGGATGGATGGATGGGAATGGATGGATGGATGGATGGATGGATGGACTGGATGGATGGTATGATGGATGATGGACGATGGAGGGATGGATGGATGGATGCGATGGATGGAGTGGATGGATGGGATGGATGGATGGATGGATATATGGATGGATGGACGAATGGATGGATGAATGTATGGATGAATTGATTGATGGATAGATGGATGGATGGATGAATGAATAGATAAATGGATGTATAGATGAAAATAAGGAATTATGGATGAATAGATAAATAAATAGATTGCTAGATGGGCAGATTGATAGCGGCTGTCTCTCGCACACATTCCTATTCAGGTCAGCTGCCTCATTGAGCGCTATGATTTAACCATGTCATCAGTCATCCGCGTCATCGCTGCAGCTCCCGTCCGCGCCACCTTCGCTTTCCAATCATTGTGCTATCGCATTACGATAGATCCTATATTCGGCTTCTTGCGCGAAAATCAAATATCATGGAAATATCCGCGCGAACGATGTGGCTTCTGCATGCATTATACTCGCGCTTTCATTCTTCTACTCTGATACATATCGACGCAGATTTTCCAACCGAATTGCGGGCTGAAATTGAGTTGTTGCCTAGCTGCGCACTAGTGCGTGGGTGCGTGGGGGAGCTGTGAGAGGTAATCTTGCATGGCGTGGGTAATGCCTAGCGACCCGGCGAGCGAGGCGGTTATTAGATCATGAGAGCTCCTCGTTAATCAGCGAAATGTGTTACAGACTTAGTCGGGATGTAACGAATCGCAGTAAAATTAACGCCTGTGCGTATTGGGGGGGGGCGCTATCTAACGAAGCAGGAGCGAAATTCCGTTGGCTGGGGAAAGTTCATGTAAGATTTACCTGCCTGTTGTTAAGCGTCAAGTCGATTGTGTTCCAGAGGAGACGTTTTAAAACGATTTAAAGTTTTCAAGAGTTGAATATTATTAGTTTAACTAGGCGTTATACCAACTACACACCACTACACTAAACTACACGGATTTCACAATTTATTCCTTTATGAAATATTGAAATCGCGAATAATGATTTAAAAGTAGAAGATACGACTGGCTTTCCGTCCCTATTATTATTTTAAACTAGTCTTTATGAATTCTACATATCGAGTTTTGCCGTTCAATAGTATCGAGAAATAAGTAAAGTACGGTTTATGCTACGCTTGCTTGGGCTCCTCAAAGCGATAACGTAGATGTTTTGCCATTAAAGCTTATTCTTACGTTCCACCAAGAGTTAATAAATAAAGATAACCGAAAAATAAACGTTGTCTTTTAGTCGCACGTAAATTATTTACCTTTTATATTTAAATGGTCGGATGTAACATAAAATATCTAAGCGATATTTAGATTAATTTTAATTCAGTCTTAAAATTTCTACATTAATGCATGAAGAAGTTACGAAACAGCAAACTCTGTACACCACCTTTTGCTAAACTTTAGTTTACTAGACATTCAGTAAAATTGTATTTTAGCACGTATACGGCACGTATACGTGTGATATCTAAATATTAACACCACAATATAATAAAACACGATAAAATGCGTAAATGTCTAAGTACTAGAAGATTCAATCATTTCCATTTTACGCGGCACCTTGAAATAAGATTAAAGCTTTAAATCTCATCTTAACTATAGCTTAAACTTAATTTTAATTAGATATTAGCCCTTTTTTAAATCAGATTACTCTGTTTTCACGGCGGGCCAGGCCGTGAAATTTAATATCATATTCAAGATCAAACAAATTTAAACGCGTTGTGAAAGCGTGGCAATTAATAAGTGTGATGAATGTTGTATGTCTACTATTAACCTAATTATAACCTAACCTACTAGCTTACTGACCTATTAACCTGTATTAAATACTATTAATTATTAATTATTAATGATCTCACGCACACAGCATATTTTAATATTTATAAATGTAACTACAGATACTAACAGACATGGCAATGAAAGACGTATGAGTATAAATGTAAAGAATGTAAATAATGAGTATAAAGCATTGCCTTCAGTACGTGAAGATCCCAATGAGAACCTGCGAAAATACTCATTAGTAGCGCACACGCAACTTACCTCATCAGCACAAGGAACGGCTTCATTCACACATACACACCAGTATGCAATTTTGAAATCGTACCTTATATCGATATTGGACAGTCAAATGAGTATTGGTATGTAACGTGAATAAACACCAATTTAACGGAAAATTATTTTGAACGATATAGTCACGGTCAGCGGCCCAGCGTCGGCAATTTCATCGCCAAACACGCGCTCTATTTACTATCATGTAGTTTTGCGTTTCATAATTACAGCGGGATACATTTGCATGCAGGGACGCGCGCACGTACAGGTGCATACTTGCACGCACGCACGCACGCGCGCATGCATGCACACATGCACGCACGGACGCACGCATGCACGCACGCACGCACACACACACGCACGCACGCATGCACACACACGCACGCACGCACGCACGCACGCACGCACGCACGTACGCTAACACACACACAAATTCCCTCACACACGCGCGCACACGTACACAGACGCCCACAGTCTCTACACACTCGCACACACGTACGCGCGCACACTTACCAACACGCACGCACGCACACTTACCAACACGCACGCGCGTACACTCATCAACACGCACGCGCGCATGTACTTTCGTTGCCAAGTTGCGTGACGCGTGAGCAGCAACGGAAGTCGAACGAAATCTTATTACATTTATTGGCATTGTGCACATGTGTGCAGTCCAGTCTTTCTCCCCAGAGATAGAGAAAACCACGCGCCGGAGTAACGCGGTAGCGATGTAACAATGTTACGCAGTTGCGTAGGGCTTACACATAAATATTAGCTTCAACCTTAAATGTAAAAAAGTTAAAACTAACTAAATAAAAATATAAAATAATTAATAAAGTTAAACATTAATTGCACATCTTCTTTTTATTGCATACATTATAGTGAAACCGTGCCAACGATACTTCTATAGACGTTAATGGACATCTACACACAATATTACACCGTGGAAACACCGTTCTGAAATGCCTGACTAATAGAAATCTGTAAATTTCCTCATAATATTCTCCCTGCACTCTATATATAGCAGCGACTATAACAATTGACTGTAATAATACTAGGAGTGGCATAATATAGATAATCTCAGATATAGTATATATATATAGAGAGAGAGATGATTCTCGTAGATGATAGATATAGATATAGATATAGACATAGACATAGATGATAGATGACTGATATAAATATATAGATGATCTTATAGTCATAATATAGTAGATCTAAAGTATGACTCCTGTTAATATCAGTGCGGTTTAGCCGTTATCGTGGCTATGAGTTAATAGATGGGCATAGTTGAGATCGAGTTTCTCACTCTATGGTGCCTCCTGTCCACGACGATGGAGACCAATCTCATGTAATTTGCACTGAGTCTCCAAGGCAAAGATCTCGCATTCCTTTATTGAGTCTGGGGCATGCGGGTATAGATTATAGGAATAATTTACTGTTCACAGATAGAAATCTAGTAGTTGTCCTCTTACCATCGTAATAGAGAGAGACAGGTAACTTCTAATATTATGACCTACTGACTGACCTAATTGCCGATGCGACAGTTGCTCACACGCACACGCACGCACACACACACACACACACACACACACACACACACACACACACACACACACACACACACA